TTAGTAGAGACGGGGTTTCACCATGTTGACCAGGATGGTCTCGATCTCTTGACCTCGTGATCCACCCGCCTTGGCCTCCCAAAGTGCTGGGATTACAGGCTTGAGCCACTGCGCCCAGCCACTTTCTTTATTTTTAGTAGAGACAAGGTCTCACTATGTTGCCCAGGCTGGCCTCAAACTCCTGGCCTCGAATGATCCTCCCACCTCAGCCTCCGAAAGCACTGGGATTACAGGCATGAGCCATTGTGCCCAGCCAGGAATTATCTTTAAAATTTTAGGTGTGATAAATATGCTGTAGTTTAATTTTTAAATAGGTTTTTTTTTAAGGTTCATACTGAAATATTTACTGGCAAGATGATATAATGTCTAAGATTTACTTCCAATAATCTGGAGAATGAAAAGTTTCATGGCTGATGATAGAGACCCACGGATCAGCAAACTACGGTTACAAGCCAAAACCAGACTAGACTGACACTTGGTTTTGAAAATAAAGTATTTTAGGAGGCCAAGGCGGGTGGATCACCTGAGGTCAGGAGTTTGAGACCAACCTGGCCAACATGGTGAAACCCCATCTCTACTAATATACAAAAATTATTCCTTATTTTCAACCTCAGAGAAAAAGAAAAACAAAAAAACAAAAATGAGCTGGGCATGGTGGCAGGCACCTGTAATCCCAGCTACTCGATACTCGGGAGGCTGAGGCAGGAGAATCGCTTGAACCTGGGAGGCAGAGGTTGCAGTGAACCGAGATCCCACCATTGCACTCCAGCCTGGGCAAGAGAGCAAGACTCCCTCTCAAAAAAGAAAAGAAAGAAGCAAAGCTTATTACAATTCCTGACCTCAGGTGATCTGCCTGCCTTAGCCTCCCAAAATGCTGAGATTACAGGAGTGAGCCACCGCACCTGCCAGCTTTTTTTTTTTTTTTTTTTTTAAGAGAAAGGGTCTTGCTATGTTGTCTAGGCTGGACTTGAGCTCCTAGGTTCCAGCAATCCACCTGCCTCAGCCTCTCAAGTAGCTGGAACTACAGCCACACACCACCACATCCAGCTGCTGTTTTTTTAACTTTTTGGATATGTTCTTAAGTCCATGTCTCCTTATATGCTCTCTTCTCCCTACCAGACTTGACTTAAACAGTGTAACCTCTTTGTGAACTGAATTGCTTACCCTCTCCCCACGAAAAGATATAACCACGTCCAACCCCTTCCCCTGTACCTATGAATATGATCTTATTTGCAAACAGGGCATTTGCAGATGTAACTAGTGAAGATGAGGTCATACTGGAGTAGGGTATTAGGGAACGTAATACGACTGGTGATCCTTGGAGATGTAGGGATCCAGAGCCACGCGGGGAGGATGCTGTGTGAAAACAGGCAGAGAAGAGTGATGCGCCTACAAGCCAAGGAATGCCAAGGACAGCCAGGGGCCACAAGAAGCTAGAAAGGATCCTTCCCGGCAGGTGCAGTGGCTCATGCCTGTAATCGCAGCACTTTGAGAGGTGGAGGCGGACGGATCACTTGAAGCCAGGGGTTCGAGATCAGCATGGCCAAGACAGCGAAACCCTGTTTCTACTAAAAATACAAAAATTAGCCAGGTGTGATGGCGCATGCCTGTAGTCCCAGCTACCAGGGAGGTTGAGGTGGGAGGATCGCTTCAGCCCAGCAGGCAGAGGTTGCAGTGACAGCACCATGGCACTCCAGCCTGGGCAACAGAGCAAAACCCTGTCTCCAAGAAAACAAAAAAAAATGAAGAAAGAAGTGAAGAGTTCATTCCCCAAACCTGTTCATGAAGCAGTGCTGTTCTCTTATGGAGACACAGTGCTTACAGCTCCTTCTTAACACGTCCTTCCCTGGGCCGTGGTCCTCAGCTTCTGCTAACAGAACTGACCCAAGCACTCTCTTTCCTGCACACTTCCTCCAGTGCATTACAGCCGCTTCAACCACATTCTTCCCCAGCACCATGACAATGGCAAAATTCTGGCTGCAGACAGACCCCTGGGCAAAGTCTCCATACTTCCGGAGCCCATAAAGGTTGTCTGCAGTCAGAAAGGACTGGCGAGGCACATAAAAACGTAGGAGGACAAGAAACCCAAGTCTGTAAGATACTGACCTGGATGTGATCAATTTCCAGGGGGTTTGGGAGGGCCTGTAAGGAATATGGGCCGTGAGGAGGAGGAGCAAACCAGGTAGTTGGAAATGCTGGAAGTGGGGCTGGATTCGGTGGCTCACGCCTGTAATCCCAGCACGTTAGGAGGCTCAGGCGGAAAGATCACTTGAGGCCAGGAGTTCAAGACCAGCCTGGGCAACATAGTGAGACCTCATCTCTACAAAAAACTTAGTTGGGTATGGTGGCATGCACCTGTATTTCCAGCTACTCTGAAAACTGAGGTGGGAGGATCACTTGAGTGATCTAGGAGTTGGAGGCTGCAGTGAGCTGAGATTGTACCACTATGCTCCAGTCTGAGAGGTAGAGCAAGACCTTGTCTTAGAAAAGAAGGAAGGGAGGAGGAAGGGAGGAAGGGAGGGAGGGAGGGAGGGAGGAAGGAAGAAGGAAAGAAAGGAAGGAAGGAAGGGGGAGGGGAGGTAAGGGAGAGGAGGGAAGGAAGGAAGGGAGGGAAAAGGGAAGGAGGGAGGGAAGAAGGAAAGAAGAAACAAAGGAAAGAAGGAAGGAAGGAAAGGAAAGGAAAATGCTAGAAACTGCCTCAGGGCCTCCAGAGAGTACCCATGATGGGTGAGACTTAGATTTACCCTAAAAATATCTGTTCCCAGTGCCTGACCAATTGCTCAAGCCTGTGGTCATTACGAACCTTGCTCACAAAAAAATCTTAAAGTAACAAATTTTTTAAATCCTTAAAATTCCATTAAGCCACGTAAAATAATATACCATGAGCTTGTAACTACTGATTCTGAGTGTGCGCATATAGCTGAAACCAGGAGAGCTGTGTGCTGTAAGTGTTGAAAAGAGAGAGAAACCTTTTCAACTGAGACACTGCTCGAGGAAGACTTCCGTGGGAAGTAAAAAAGTCCTCTTCAAAGTTTCCTTCTTGTTAAAGAATAAATCATACGTGTGCTAATAACTCTTTGTTAAGCCCTATCCTGTGTAGCTGTGAGACATGCCATGCTTACAAGCACGTAGTACATTCTGTGTCCTTTGTACTGTAACCAAGCTATCTGTGCTGGACGTGCTCACAGGCATGCCCCAG